CGTGCCTTTGCATCGAAACGAGACGAACGGTGAGCTTGCAATGATAGAGACCTATTTTTAACACCTCACCGTTCGTTTTGCTTCGTATTAAAGTATTATAGTATTAAAGCATTAAAGTATTAAGATATTAAAGTATTAAAGATATTTATTTATGATATACTTTTAATCTTTTTGTCCTCCACAAAATTCTTTTTCGTCGTGGCTTCAACGCCGCATAATCCAGTTAATTACTTAGAAAAGGCGTCATAAATCAAGCGCTAATCGACGACGTCTTAGTTGTACCACATCCAGAAAATACCTAGCAACTACCACCAGGAATGGTATATGGTACGTATTATCCGAATTTACTGGGCCCCCCTCAGGACCTTATGTCGTTGGTGAGGACTGATTGGCCTCGATCGTATTACTCTGGATCGAATTATCAGGGCCACTAGAGTCTGGAACACAGAAATTACTTCACCTAACACTATCACTATCTTCCTTTAAAAGACACATTTTCCAGTATTACATCTCAGCTCTTCAGTGATCATACAACCCAGACGATCCTCGCCGATGGAAACCAATTTGTTGGCACACACTGTATAGAACAGGTGCATGTTACGTCATTGTCGCCATCTTGGTTGACGATAACAAAGCATTCATCATTAGCTTCTCTTGTTAGATCAACCAAGATGGCGGCTGTTTCATTGTTATTCATGCATATCTCAAGGGATTTTGAGTCACATGGTTGGCACACACTGTATAGAGCAGGTGCATGTTACGTCATTGTCGCCATCTTGGTTGACGATAACAAAGCGTTCCTCATTAGCTTTTCTTGTTAGATCAACCAAGATGGCTGCCATTCCTTTGTTATTCATGCATATCTCAAGAGATTTTGAGTCCCATAATCGCACACACTATATTGTTTTACTCCCCCTAACAATTCCTCTAGTCAATCAATACAAGGGGTCTATAGTTAATCCTCTCCAGTTGTCTAAAACGCATGTCATCCGTATCCTCCCCTAAACCCCCTTCTATAAATAGACGATAAATAATGATGAACGGTAGTGAAATTAAAACAAATACAGTGGAAAAAAGAATTTATAGAATTTTCTAGCTCCAAATACCAGAAATCAAATATTCCCGTTGGGTGACATGACTACTTGTAGGAGTGACTGTAGTGTCCTGGAAATTGGGGGAAAAAATTTCATTATCAACAACAAAGTATTTGATTGGTTAATCTCATTTTGTTTTCGTGGTAATTTGCTCGCCATTTTGCTGGGTTTCACTCAGCTGATAAAAGTCTTCAAATCTTATTATCTGCTCCAAATGGTGGTCAAACACTGACCACCATGTGCTGTCAGCCAGAAAGAATCCTATTGAAAACCTGTGATTCAGCTGATGAACATTCCGCACGAGACAGGAAATTGTCAAAGTAGTGTGGATCCGCATACTACTTTGACAATGTGATGGCGAAATTTATTGTAAATAAGACGACAGACACATAAAAATCTGATGTCAATTTGTTTTTTACAATAACAAAAACAATAAAAAAAATTTTTTTTTTAATTCTGCCCGAAACAGGAAATGACTTCCTGTAAAATCAAGCAATAATTAAAAAAATTTAAAAATTTAAACAATGTAATTTTTGCATAAAAAAAAGACGGCCTTCTTTTTGTCCTCCTTGTCCCCCAGAACTATTCCTCTAGGAGATCAATGAAATGGGTCTATACTCACCACAGTGGGTACAGGTCCTTCTGCAAAGTGAATCCACATCTCTACCGAGGTGTGTATAGTGACAATATCCTTTATTTTTGTAGTATTCACAGAAAAATGGATGTATCTTGTCAATACAAAGTGCTGAAACAGAAAAGAAACGTTCTAAAGCTTGATGAACATTGATTTTTTTAAAAGCTTTTTTTTTTTTTTTTTGCACGGTAGCCATATTAGTTCGAACAACAGATTACACTTCGCGTGGCCTCGCATTCAAGTGCTTGGAAATAAATTTATGCGGGTGAAAAAAGGCTTTTATGTTCATCACTAGTGAAACATTTACTTGTCAAGCATTAGTTACCAAGGTTCAAATTTGACCAGCCCGGGCAGAGGTTGTTTCAGGGTTCAATCTGTGGGTTAGCCATGCCCTGACAGATCAGCCCAGAGGTTGATTCAGGGTTCAATCTGTGGGTTAGCCATGCCCTGACTTAGATCAGCCCAGAGGGTTGATTCAGGGTTCAATCTGTGAGTTAGCCGTGCCCTGACTTATATCAGCCCAGAGGTTGTTTCAGGGTTCAATCTGTGAGTTCTAGCGGTGCCCTGACTTAGATCAGCCCAGAGGTTGATTCAGGGTTCAATCTGTGGGTTAGCCGTGCCCTGACTTAGATCAGCCCAGAGGTTGTTTTAGTGTTCAATCTGTGAGTTAGCCTTGCCCTGACCTCGATCAGCCCAGAGAATGTTTCAGGGTTTGATCTGTGAGTTAGCTATGCCCTGACTTCGATCAACCAAGAGGTTGTTGTTTCAGGGTTCGATTTGTGAGTTAGCCATACCCTGATTTAGATCAGCCCAGAGGTTGTTTCAGGGTTTGATCTGTGAGTTAGCCTTGCACTGAATTAGATCAGCCCAGAGGTTGTTTAGGGTTCGATCTGTGAGTTAGCCGTGCCCTGACTTTGATTGTTTGTTGACTGGCTGTTTCAGAGCCTCATAAAGGAGATGGTCTCTTTATTATTGTTTGTTTGTTTGTTGACTGTTGATTTGTAAAACATCAAGCTGAATATATATTTCTATTGGGTTTTTTCTCAATATCCGACGCCTTAAATTATAGGTTATTAAATAAAAACAAAAATCATTCTTACGGTGACAATTGTAGAGCTTGTTAATCTGATAGGCATCATAATAGCTCAGTCCAAATCGTTGGCCAATGACTGCATTTTTCTTCCTGGGAATTATGGTTGGTTTGCGATTTCTACTGAACGCGTACTTTGAGTAATGCATAACGCTCAAGTAATCGTAAGGCTTGCTAAGATTTGTACCAAGAAGTCTGGAGTACTTGCGGAAGTTTTGGCTATGATCTAGAAGAGAAGGGTTGGTGGTTTTAAGGTATGACTCTCAGATACCGGGTTAATACCGGTGTATTACTCGATAACAGATTTATTTGCTTGTATAAAATATTCAGGTGTTTCCTTGAAGGTTTATGGAATTTCAATATGTTCGTATTTATGAGCTTCCATATGCATTCTTTACTTTACAGTTGGTATAGTTGGTATTTGTAAATATTCTGAGACTGAAATAAGGCTTTCCCTAAGTAAACGAGTCTGCAAGAAATCAAAGTACACAGCGGTATTTGACTAATTGGGAAATGGTTTATTCTCTCAAACCGACACTAGCTGTGCTCCGGGGTCATACATGGACTGTATAGTGGCTGCCAAAGGCGCCTTTACATACTTTTAGTTCGACCCAGTTGAGCTGCGCCACTGTTGTTTATGCGATATAGTACGTAAATTTAATCGTCTTCATTTATTTATTTAGGCCCCGTTTACACGTATCCGGATATTTTCGAAACCGCATACTTTTTTATGCGTTTAGGCCTTCCATTTACACGAAGACACCGAAAACGCTCACCCTATCCGGAAACGATACGAAAACCATGAGCGTTTTCGTGAAACGCGCATTCAAGTATGCGGTATCAAAAATATCCGGATACGTGTAAGTGAGCCGGAACCGCCATTTTACGTGGTCACTCGAGTCACGGCGAAGGTCTAACCATTTGAATGACTATAGCAAGATAAGAAGATCAGGAAACAACGACAACAACATGTCAATAAACAAAGAAAGAGTTTGCATGGTATTCTTTGAATACGTCATCGCGGTCTCTCGGGGAACGTTGGTGTGCCATTTAACACAATTTATCATCCATTGCTAACGGCACCACAGTGGCCGGCATGCTTAATTCGTCTTTTAACTCTCTTTGGAATGCTTGCAACCCATCAATTATTAATGTTATAACTTACCTTTCATAATGTTACTCCAAATAATCTTAATAAATTTATCCCTGTCTTGTCTAGACTGCTCGTGGAAAAATCCAAGAGAATGCATGATCTCGTGGACTATTGTACCTACGCCTGTACAACCTCTTCCGATAGATATTCTCTGAGAACGTCCTATTGGGTTACGTCCAATTCYGGAATAACACCTGGTAAGATAAGCATGGGATTAATTAAATATTATATGTAATATTTGAAATGCTATTTCCAACCCTAAGTTTGACTATTATATTTGTCAATCTTTCGACAGCATTTCTGTAGCCGTGCGGCCCCGATGACCACTTGGGTTGAAAACTTGTCAAACATTAAAGTCATAGTTCTGCAGAATCGTACCCAGTCGCTTTTCTTGTCTTATTGATCTCACGCTGTGGTTGATGGGAAGGATCCAAAAGCCATCGCGCGCATTAAAAAAGCGTGACGACTGGGTACGAGTTTGATATTTCTGGTTGAAGTATTTAAAATAATAGATATAAATATAAACAACAACCACGAACACTTATTTATAATCTAAATAAAATAATGCTCTGTAATGCTGTAATTTCATTTTACGAGGTTGAGTGTTCTACAATAATGACACTTTCAAGATATGCTTTCATTTTTGATCACAAAATAAACCGTTTCAATGTGAAGCTATGGATGGATAGAAGCTTCTTCTTCTAAGCTTCTTGTTGATTGCTTCAACGTCGTTTAACATTCAAAGCAACGTGGCTTCACCAAGCAAGTTACTTTTTATACATTTTTTCGCCAAAAAAATCCACTAAACGTTTTTAGAAAATATTGAGAGAATTTTCAATACAACTTTTTCATAGTAAACTTTAATTTGAAAATGTTAATATAAATAATAATAAATATAAATGCATAAATATATAAATTTTATACACATTTTATGAACTGAGTTGAGAAAATTAGCAGGCATTCGTCGAAGCAGAACAGATTTTGAAATAAAATTGAAGCAGCGCGCGCAGTTCGCAAATGCGGATGGATGGATGGATGGATAGACGGATGGATGGATGGACGGACGGACGGACGGACGGACGGACGGACGGACGGACGGACGGACGGACGGACGGATGGATGGATGGATGGATGGATGGATGGATGGATGGATGGGGTAGCATGACTTACCCTTTTCCCTTGAAGAAGACTACATAATTTGTATATGGCTGTTCGGAGTAATGTTCAAATCTCACACAAGTTTGACTTTCGATGTGCTTCATAGCCAAGAAGATCTGATACATTGCATAAAGACCTGAAAAGTTGCGAAAAGAAACCCCTTGCTAAAATTAAAGTTCATTGAAGTATTCAGTATGGACTAAAACTCAACAGAAACTGGGAACACTTTAACAACGTTAACCACTAATAATGCAATGCTAGTTAAAACTGCAGCCAATCATTGACCTTGCAGTCTTTTCATCTCCTTTCTTTCTTTCTTTCCCCCTTCCTTCCGTTCTTTCCTTCCTTCCCTCTATTCTTGCTTGTTTGTTTGCTTGTTTGCTTGCTTTCTTGCTTGCTTGCCTGCTTGCCTGCTTGCACTATATCTTT